GAAAGGAATACGAACACCTCAGTGACTTTTGCTCGCGAACTTTGAATCAATTACCAAATGCAGAGCAAATGTATAAATTATCGCCTCCTACTCCAGAAATATTAGAATCCAACCATCAATACGTCCAAATTAACAAAGTAGACCCGTTGATGGATGAAAAAAGACATCGACTCAGTGGGAAACCTATAACAGCAGAAGCGGTATTAAGGTATCACCGAGTGAACGATGTTCAGCGTTTCCGATTTTCGAGACCAGCGCCAAAGAAAGATTTAATCTCGGCTATGATAAATTCTGGCGACAAGGAAAAAGATAATAATGAATTTGCTTCGTTGTGGTTGGAGAGGACAGTTCTAGTCACGAGTCATCCTTTGCCAGGCATTCTCAGATGTTTTCCTGTTACGTCTAGCGATACCTATTTGGTCAGTCCTCTTCGTAACGCGATCGAGACAATGGAAGCTACGAACACTGCCTTGAGAGATCTGATCGTAGCGCATAAAGCTGATCATAGTCTTCCAGTGAATCCGCTCAGCATGAAACTTAATGGCATATTGGATCCAGCGGTGATGGGTGGTATAGATAATTATGAGAAAGCCTTTCTTAATCCTGAATACAGGAATTCTCATCCGGAAGAAAGTTCCGATCTTCTGAAATTAGAAGGGTTAATTGCTGAACAAATTCCGTTGTTGGGTGTCGGTGTGCAAGTTCACAAAGCTTGCGCTCCCCCTCAATTAACGCTGCTTCATCAACGTTTGGAGCAATGTTATGCTACAATGCGATCCCAAGTGGAGTCGAAATATGGAAAGAGAGTAAGTTAAGAGCAAAATCTGTAGTATCTGATCGAATTGGCACTGTTAATAAATGTTGCGAAACCGAGGTAGTCCTAATTAATCCTGTTTTATTATGAAACAGACATGTGATTTGCAAATTGAGACATTGACTCAAACTGTTACAATGCGAAGACCACAGCCATCGAGAGGCGACAATCATCGTTTATCCGAATCGAATATAATAAATTCAGAGTAAGTAATTTTTAACGTTAATAATCACGATCATTATCCGCTGCAAATATTGCATTTTATTTATACTAACATTAGTTTCGTTCATGTGTTTTCATTGTCATTAAATTATGTTGGCTTTGGTACGGGATTTATAATCATATTTCTGTTAAAACAATGTTTGTATTATATTGTGAATACTGCATGCATAGATGAAAATAGCCCAAAAGTTATAGCGTATTCTTTGCATAAAAGACACCGTATACACAATTTTTCCATGTCTCTTATTATAAAATTATGTGGCCATTTTGTAATTATCTCGTTCAGCTGTGGAACTCACTCCAGGGTATCCTCTCTTACAAGATCCCAAGTTGCAACGTTCAAGTCGCTCGCATCATTCAATTTTAACAACAGTACACCTTCGTCTGGTGCTCAGAACGTCGGTTTATCAAGGTAAAGATGTCACGATGTCATGTAGAATTTGTTCCACTATTAATTATGTTCATTTTGTCTTATTAATCAAACTATATAATATCGACTATTTATGCACTTTCTACCTATTGACAATACATATGTGTTATTACTAATACAATAGATGTATTATTAATATATACTTCAAACTAATGTTACTAATCAATATTATGCAGACCAAATACTAATTTAATATTGCTTATTTTGGTCTTCTCATATTTGCGTTCTATGAATGAATATTAGAGCAGCGTGTATGTGATTTCAGGAATTTCGCTGTTGGACCTGATAAACACAATATTTTACTCTCTTTTCTTCGCACCTAGCATTTTTTGTATATGTACACATGTGTATATGCATGCACAAATCATTTTTTTGTACATTTCTTAATCCTTTATACATATTGTGGCTAACATATCGGTTGTATATTAATTGGTTAATTTTTTATTTCATCATTCAAATATTATTTTGGCTAAAAGACAAAAGCCACATACGTACATATATATTACAATAATAATATTTATATATATTACTTTACTTTTCCTTTTCTTCTACATTTTGCTGCATGATATATTCTTTTTGTATCATTTGTTATGTTATCATGTTTGTCCCTGGATTAAACATCTGCGATAACAACTGGCTATTTTTCTACTGAATAGGTAAATAGCAAACTATCAACAAAATATTAATGCTACCGTCATTAGTTATTTAAGCTTATACATGAAATTTCTTATATGCAATAAATGCTAATTGATATGCAGGAACGCGTCAATACGTTCGCATATCTTATCAACGGCTTCTCTACAAAAGGCATTGGGAAGTTCTAGTCCAGGAACGAATAAGAAAAAAGATTCAAAACGAAGAAGCTCGCGAAAAAGTGATTCGGCTGCTTCCACAAAAAGTGATCAACCAACCAGTCAGTGGTACACCACGACCGAAGTATCGCATAGTACATCAACTCCTATTACTCCATTGATATCCAGTTACCCTAGTACACCGATATTCGAACTTCGTCAGGAGGTAATTTATAAGTTTCATCTTCTAGCGTGTCGTGATGGGATTCAGACTTGTTTAATTATATTTACCATATCAGCCATCATAACTAATATTTGTGACTACTTATTTCGGTACTTACTCTAGACAAACTATGTATATCATTAATAGTCTGTTGATGAAGGTATATTAGTGAATATACCATTGAATTGGTCCCATTACTACTAACATGCATGATATTGACAAAATAATGCAAAAGACTGTAATAAATAATACATTATTGTGCAGCTAACGCCAAAGCGTCCTCTAAGATCAGAGGTAGAAAAGGAAAGACGAATAAGCAACCGCTTATCTGGGCAATCTCAACACTATTTGAGAAATGTAAACAATGGAATGGATTCAAGTAGTTTAGGAAAAGGGAACAGGGACAGTATCGGTACAACAGACAGTACAGCATCTGAAGACGATCCACCGCCCCCTTTACCCATAAAAACACGCGAAGCTGATTATTGCAATCTTCCAGAGGAATCACCTGTTGCCCATTGCGGGACAGGTAGTTTGAACAATTTAAATCGACCTTTAGGTCATTGGTCGAAAAACAAGCTTCCAACACCTACAGATGATCTTGACGTTCAAACAAAACCACCTACACCGCCGCCAAAACCAAAAAGACCACCATACAGCTTAAACAAACTTATGCTTCCTTCTGGCGATGTAGACAATTTCAGTCAAGATCCGTCCGTAACTTGACCCAGATTACTTGACGATCACTCATCTTGCCAGTGTACTGACAATTCCGTATAATAATGTATTTATACAAACCTTAGTCTTGTAGTGCGAAAGTAGAAGTTACCATTTTACAATATTCTTTTCCGTACCTTCGTTTCCTACATAAATAAGGATATATCTACTAACGCTGTAACACCAGCGAATCATGTAGGATCTTAATATCTTCACGCATACATGAATATCAATTAACCTAAAACTGTGGTAATATCATACATGTTTGCCTTTATTCCATCCAATTGTGAAACTTTCGAACAAACTATATACATCACTAATAGACTGGTGACAAAGGTATAATAATTGTATATGGAAGCATGGTTATATCGCAAAGGTTTTGAACGATATTTTATAAGTATATTTACAAAATAGGCTTGAGATTTCCTCATATTTCCAAATAACCATTTACGTACTACGCGTATTTAAAGAGCTAATGCCATTGACATCAAAGTCTTTCATTAGTAAAAGACTTTTTATCGTGAAACACGAACATGAAGTATGCATAATATACTAATTAGAAGCGGATATTACAATTTTTACTACGTATTTTTATAGATTTTGATATTAGGCTTTTACAGTGTTTTCTATATAATGACACAACTTTTGAACAAATTTTACTGTTACCGTTAGTAATCTTTTTTACGGATTTTCTATTGACGAATAATTCAGAAAGATATTTTTTACTGAAAATACATTTTGACATCTATTTCTTCTTGATGCTCAATTTTGTACAAAAAATTACTTTTTCCTTTTTTGTTTACGAAATTAATGTTATCGACACGTAGTTACTACCTAAGCATTACCAATCTATTGTGATTTAGTCAAGTAAGATTAAGAATTCGTTTTATATACCAGTTGGCAAGATATCCATAGTCTTGTAAATGTTAAATTATTTAAGACAATGCGACATAATTTTATACAGTTCTGAGATATAAAAAAAAAAACAGTGTATTATCATTTTCATATAGACAACAGATATACGATTAAATTTATATGTTTATTTATTGTATGATACCGTGACACATTATTATAAATGGAGAAATTCTAATACGGTTTGACAAAATTATATGAATTTGTTATAAAGCACTACATCGCTTAATAGAACTAATCTTTTCGATATACTAAACATGTTATATACATATAAACAATTTGTAAACGCAAAAGCAATTGCACTTTCAATTATAAAATATGTGACATTTTCGACCGCAATTATCACGCGAGTCTCATACCAAAGAGATTAGTGCTTTATTTATTTACTTTGTTAGCAAGTTGTATGTATGATTTAAGAAAGGTTATATAACGTATTATCTGCTTAAAACAAAAACAATAAATGTATTCAATAGTTTTTTCCTTAATCGATCACGAGCGGAAAGTTACATATTATAATTGTAGCATATAGTTTTAGTTCGTTTCTTGAAATTAATCATTAATGGCAAGAAAAATATTGATAACATACATTTGATGTGCCATTCGATTTTTTTTATTGTTTATAGTAATTGAGTTTAATATAATTTAGGGACCAATGTAACAACGTTTTGTAACAAAATTAAAATTTATTTACTGTTATTATAATATTATAAAATGTGTTTACTGTTACACTTTTCTTAAAAATAATTTTAAACGTCAAAGATGAACAAATTAATCGTAAAGTTGTAAACAAAACCATAATTGGATCGGTAACACTCTTGATTATAAAGAATTACTTCCCAGCCGATTAAGATTTAACAAATATGCTTATGATACTTTGCATTTATCAATTATCATATTGCGATTCTCAGCCTCTTCATTAGTAGTGCTTTCGCTGTTATTAGTTGAGTTTGATTGTTTTGTACTATTCGTGCTCTGTAGAATATCTGTAGACTGCTTGTTTAAAGATCAAAGAAATTTATTAAGTTAGATGTTATAATTCAGAAATATTATTATATGGTATAATAGTACAGAAAATCATTTACCTCTGATGTTTCACTTTCTTGGAAGATTTCTTTTGATCTCGTATTTTGTTGTTCAGCCCATAACCATGACTGTGAACTCTGTAGAAAATATTGAAAGCGTTATCACTATATTAGTTTTCATTCACTTAAAAATGCAATTAACACGTTAAATGCCGAACTTGTCCCTTCGTACAGATTAAAAAAAAAAAAACTGAAAAATCGACGACGTTGAGTAGTGCTCGTTGGAGAGTCTACATAATCAAGATTTAGAATAGTCTCACCTAAACGACTAAACATTATTTGTAATATCTGCAAAGGAAATCCCCCATATTTCTTTAGATTGGTTTAATAAATTACATCAAGTTTTTGTTGAAATATTGAATTTTTTATTTATTAATTTTGATTCCCCAAAGACATATCAATTGAAGAAAATGTTCAGCCCTGGTACACAGGGACCGCCGCGACATTAAATGTGTTTTAATCATACCGAATTTTTGTTCAAATTCGGATACAATGGTTGACCAGGAGGTAGTGGTGGAGCACTAGGGACCTACAAAAAAGAATAATTTAAATTATTTCTTAACTCATTTATAACTATAGAATCACAAGATATGATACCGTAGGTGGTGGAGTGTTGTAGCAAGCTGGTGGTGAAATGTTGTAGAAAATTGGTGGTCGCACATTGTTAGTTTGTACAAGCGGAGGCTATTATGAAAAAAGAATCAAGAATCATATATATAATTTAGAAAATTAATTAAAACAACACAAATATATATTTATTTTTTAGACATATTTTACTACCGGGTATTGGTTTTGCTGATACTGGTTTGAGTTTGGTAGATTTGTATTTGTTTGTACCTGGAATTTCTAAGAAAAAGATTTTAATTGTACAAATAATGAAATGAATGTTATTACTTTGCATGTAATAAAATAAAATGTGCACTTTATACTTATTTGTATCTTTTTCTATATTCTTTATACTAACATTTCGGCAACAGAAGGTGAAATGATGAAGTTCATTACATCTCTGACATTTAAATCCCCAAGCAGGACAAGATTTCATAGAATGCTTCTGGTCACATCTCCCACAGTTTCTTTTATGTTCCGGATTGTATGACTGCTGATTTTGTGTGGTCACTTTTTTTTTATTATGATTATTACCACTACTACTTGCAACAGCTTCAACAGTTTTAGCACTAGTAGTGTCCTTCTTATGAGTTTGAGCGTTTTCTGGAAGAGACATTTTGTGTTCATTGTAAATTGCTATTAGTTTTGGCAAGTCAAGGTTTGTTGTTTCAAAAAGTTTTTTTCTAAGATTTTTATCTTTGAAACCAGCAATTACTTTGTCTCTGATTAAACTGTTTTTCATATTTCCGAAGTTACAAGCTGCTGCCTTTTGCTAAACAGAGGAATAAAATGATAAAACAACCCATTAATTTAAGAAAAATATATGTAAATTTCAAAAGTGACTCACTTTTAAATCCTCAATATAATCCTCGATAGATTCTTGTGGTTTACAAACTCTGGTGAAGAAGTTATATCGTTCTATCACTTCATTTTTAGGGGGATTAAAGTAGTTACTAAGTTTATTTAATAATACATCTACTCTATCTCTGTCTGTTGAGTTCTTTGGAAACAGTTTTTCTATAGCATCTTGACCAACTTTTCCTATGTGAGATCTCAAGAGGTAAGCTTGTATGTCCTCAGACTTTTTTGCATAATCACTCGCTTTCAGATATATAACAAAATCTTTTCTCCATCTATTCCAATTTTGAACCATATCCCCATCTCCAGACAAAGGATCCGGTGGCCGCACGTATGAATCCATTTTCGCAATAATTTTCTGCAACAACACTGAAAAATTTTAATTCAATATTTATTCTTTCTCCACTTGTTGCATAATTATACTGTGCCTCCACATTTTGTATCCAAAAATATTTTTGTAAACGACATTTTCAATATGTCAGAGACAAAAGATGGTACGACATGTTATAACAAAGAAGTTGATCTTTCCGTATTACCTTTCCGTTAAACGCGCACTTTTACGACTACACTTGTTGAATATTGTGCGTTGATTTTAATTATAGATTAATACATACGTTACTCATACAATCAATAGCAAGGACTGAAAGATTATCGATGATAATGGAAACTTCAAATCGATTGCTGACTGTTGGATATTACGCTTGTGGGAATTCCCCACCCGAAGTATCACAGAATCATATATGTATAAAATACAACACATTCATACTTTCAACTGTGGTTGTGTAATTATTATCGTGACGTAATACTACACGAGATAAATTCAGGAATCCAGGAAACAATTTAATTTTAGTTCTAAATAAGTGTCCTCAGTTTAGCATGAAAAAAGTTGTATATAAACAAAACCACATAGCCCAACAGAAATCGACAGAGGGTTATTCCCCGAATAAAATCTATATAAATTATATCTATGAATAAATAGGTACAATAGTTGTTTTTGTGTGTACGTTTCATTCTTTCGATTTTATAATAAAGGCTTTGAACTTATCAGTAACGATATCTCTGAGTCACAAGCGATCATAATGTATAACAAGGACAATCAGAGTCTGCCACGTTTTGTTTATTTACATTTCTTATATCCTTATTCTTAACGTATATAGGTTCTATTCGAAATTTGATGAATTAGGGGTCAGGAAATTAGTAAATTAGTAAACATATTGTATAAAATGTATAAATCATAATTGATAGCGTTGTTCAATAGCGTACATTTTAATTTGCAACGTTGGTAGCATCATCTAGTCATTTCTAGTAAGTCTCATTCATTTTCGTCCTGTAAAGTTATATCGATAGAAATAAACAAACAAATATTTGAATAATTTAAATATTCAAATTTTCATTGACATATATACAAACATACCCTCGCGAATTTATGGGGTGAAAACTACTAGCGCCACTCAGCGGTAAAAACCCTGAACTAATTTTTTTATGTTTAGCCAGCGCCCTCGGTGGGAAGACGCCCAAGTTTATAGTAAAATTAGTTCTCATTCGCTCTGTTAGATTGCGCCACTAACTTCAACTTATCGACACTGTAGGTTATTTACACAATCTATTTCATTTTATACAATTTTGAGTGCAGAATTAAGTAGTATGTATTGTGATATAAAAATTTAGCTAGGAAGACGTTTTTCGATTCATTTTTCTTCCAACGAAGTTGCGAATGAAGTGATGGCGACATCTGGCAGTAAAAATCGAGAACTACTTTCCGATAAACTTGGACGTTATTGCCGTAGATGTCGCGGTATCCTTTATTTAGTGGCGTCATCTACCGTTAAAAGAAAGAACTATTTCTCGACAAACTTGGGCGTTTTCTCCATAGAGGTGCTGACTACACATCGAAAAATTAGAACGATACTTTTATCGCTAGATGGCTAGCTACGTTATTGTTACTTTTGAAGAAGTCTTTCTATATTGAATAATAATCGAAGTCCAAGTAATAAAGTACAGTAAAGTAGTATCAAAGATTGTTACAGATAAAGTTTTTTCATAGTACTAATTTAATGGAATAATAGTTAGTGCAATTTATCCAAGTTTATCCACTTGATAGAATAAAATAATTTAAAGGGAAAGGGAATTGGTGATTCCTTCTAACTGAGCACATGTAATTGGTGTTTATTATATGATTAGAAAATAGTACATTTTCACCGTTTTTATTTTTTTTTATGACGTAATAACAAAATTAAGGGAATACGAAGCTACAAATGTGCTGAGTCGATTATTATTAGTAATACTTTTTTTTATATTTGTTTTATCTTTGCTTGCGAGTGTTTTAAATTTAAAAATATTTATTTATATCAATATATTATTTGCTGATACATTTTGTCTCCAAGTGGTTAGGTTTTTTACATCGTGAGCACTCTTTTCCTTGTGCAGGGCATAGAGATATGATATGGTCTGTGCCGCATCTAGAGCAATTTCTCACCATAGGAGCTTGACACTTCCACGAATAGTGATTATTTTTGCCACACTTTGTGCATGCATATCCAAAAGCAGGGCATTCTATTTGCTTATGCCCAGTTCCACATTTGGAACAATTGTCAACAAATTTTACATTAGTTTTGCACTTCTCTGTAAAATGATTGAACTTCTTACAGTTGTTGCATTGGCTTCCATGCGCAGGACATTTATTGCGTGTATGTTGCAGTCCGCATCTGACACATACGCTTAAACTGTTATCTATGAGACGTTTTTTAGTAAAGGTTTGCTCAGGATTGGTTTTTTTGTCCTTTTGATTTGAGAATTTTTGTAAAGACATGCATTCAGAAATAATTTCACTCAAATTCAAAGACTGTAAAAATGTTTCAAAATCTTTATCGGATTTCAGTCCCATAATATCGTTGATAACCTTTTGTTTAACAATATCTTGAGCATCGCTGTGATTGCTTGCTTTAGCAATTTCCTATAACATCATATATATTTATTATTTTCAATAAATCAGATTTTAAAGTATACCATTACAAGTTCAACTTGAAGATATAAAAGAAATATTTAATGAAGTATGGACTTTCTGGCTTTGTTACTTTCTATAAAAAAACTGTAATAATGTTGCTTATAAAGAAATTCTTGTAAATCCTCAGTACCATTAAATTATTGACATAGTCACTGATGTTCTCTTTATATTGTATTTCCTTAGTTCCAAAAATGAAATACAAATCCAATTTTGTAAGCAGTGCATCGAAATTTTCTTTATCTAAAAATGTATCCAAAGATACTTTTTTGTAAGCTTCTTGCCCTATGGGACCAATAAACATCAAAAGAAACGTTCCCCATCTATTTTTGTACGATTCTGTGGGATCTTCCACTTTCATAAATTCTATGAAATCACTCCTCCAGGTACACCAATTCTTATCCAAATTGCCATTTGCTTTTAGTGGTGCTGGTGGTTGCGCTTTGTTTGGCACTTTTTCACCTTAAATATTTCACTTCAATAATTTATACTATCGGTTAAAAAAATGTTATACATACGAAAGAAAAAAACAGAAATATTACCCATATTTATTATTTTACGTAAAATTTACGTCATGCGTTTGAGCTATGTATATCTACATAAATACAAAATTACGTTACTATTGTTCTGTAGCACAGTTTAGAATTCATTAATTCAATTGTTTTTTATATTTTCTCTTGTCTGGCGGCGGAACCACTGATGGCAAATTCTGTCGCGAACGCGTTAAACAGATAAATGAGTATACTCGTTACGTTTTTATCATGTGATTCGATAAAACACTATATAAATTGAAGGAAAAATAATAAGTTCTGAAGAGAAAATATCCAATGTTTACTTATGCTCAATAACTTGCCAACACTTTCCTTTGTTAGAAGGACCAACTGTAGAACCAGCCATGTGTACACTCATACTGTTTCTTATCTATTCTATATTTTTTGGTTTCGAGTGATTAAGCACTAAGGAAATGAGACGTAGAAATGATATTTATTGTTTCTATCATTTAGCGATAAATACTGATATTACTGGAATAGAGAATGATTTCTTTTGTTAGGTGGCAACCTAATTATTTAATTGTATGTCGATCCTGCAATTAAAACGTCTATTTTCTTTTTATTCCATTATATTCGTACAAGTAAATTTTAATACAAAAAGCTGCATTTGTAGAACAAAGAAGCGTTTTTGTCTCCACGGATTCAAAGATTTGTCACTATTTTAGGGATGTTAGATCAGTTCATTCTATACGAACTTACTAGAATTCTGCGTTCTTAGGTTGGCAACAGAACCATGTTTGTAAACTAACAGTTTCGCATGTCATCCAACCATCATCCGTGAGGAGATTACCATGAGCGAAGTATGCCCAACCGAAAATTGGAGAATTTCGTTAGGAATGCGTAACAATGTGTTGCATACCACGATTCCGTATGTTCCTATGTTAGTAGAAAATATTCCTATACACCTCTCTTTCGAGGACCACGAAGAAAATGGTATCAAAACGATACAAACGATGGGGGAACTCGTCCCGAAGACTGAGGCCTATGCTACACTTTTGTCTTTAACGCCAGGAAATAAATCAGAATTTCCTATCAGTTTCAAGCACTTGCATATCAATGATTTGTACATTCAGAATCCAGATAACACACGTTGCGCTATTTGGGTACAAGTTATTCTCAAGAATTATGTTACTTTCTAGAAATTGCAAGAGTAAAAATATAAATTTAATATTATTTTTTAATGACATCACTGATCAACTTTATATTGGGTACTAGGATAAGCATACAGTCTTTAAAGTCTATGGAAAGTTAGAGACTGCAGAATCAGAAACCGTATTAGAAGTTACTCACTTGGTACCAGTACGTGATATCATTGGAACATTGAATACAATGACTGCGCTAGCCACGATCGCACGCTCGGAATGTCGATGGTAAGATGATATAACTATTTGAAGCGCGAAATTAAGTGTCCCTGTTTTATTTTAGGTATTACCGTACAGAAGGACAAAATAATATGCTGCAATCTCAATGGGATAAAATGAAAGAGCAAAAGAAACGTTTAGTGAATGTAAAAACTTCATAAAATAGTATATTCTTCTAAAAATACTAGAGTTACAACTAGCAATTTAACAATTATATTTTTGTATGTAGCATAAATATAGAATGTATAATAAAATATATGATTTATAATCCAACTCTAACGTGTATATATGTATGAGAATGTTATAATATTCAATTTCAAGTAACATTTTTTAATGTATCACTTTCTACGGTACCGTAATTTGTTCCTGCATTGCGAAGCAAAATGTCCCCGTGCGTCACAACTGGTGCAAATACTATGGTTTGCTGGACAAACCGATCTATTTTTAGAATGACTTAAACCACAAAAGCGACACATTAAAACTTGAGAGCTTTCACATGCCCAAGAGAAATGACTTATTTTATGACATTTTGTGCAAGTTTCACCATAAGCAGGACATTGTCCATTGAAATGACTACCTTTGCAATATCTACACTTCAGATTAAAAACCATTGGACACCTATTACTAAAATGATTCCATTCTTTACATTTTGGACATTGTTTTCCTGATGCTGGACATCTATTCGAACCATGTTTGTTCCCACATCTATAACATTTTATCGCCATACCATTGTCATCGTACAAGTTCCAGATAAATGCAATTTCTTTAAATGTTAAATTTTTGAAATTAGATGAAAATGTGAATGTTGGCAGTACAGTTTTAGCATTGGTTTCGAATTGTTGTTTATTAATTTCCGTCAAAATTTTTAATTTTATCAACTCTTCTCCATTTTTAATATTTTTTAGCCTGACCATGAACTGAAAAATAAGATCGAGTACGATTGCTTGTACAACGAAATATGGAAATTTAAAAACCTACCTGCAAGTCATCAATGTATTCATAACTACTTTCGTGTGGCTGTTTTTTTCTTCCCGAAAACACCCGGTAGTCATCGAATTTTTCAATTAATACATCTATGTTCTCTTTTTCGTCTGCACGATTGAACACAAATGTTTTATAAATATCTTGGCCAATCGGGCCCATCAAGTTCAACAACCTATTTCCCCATCTATTTTTATCAGAACCGTCGTCGTTAATTGACTTTTTAAACTCCAGGAATTTGAGTTTCCACGAGGACCACGTTGCGAAAAATTCACCTTCTGTCATGAACGGCTGAGGTGGGGGAATCGTTTGCAATTTTGTCGAAAAATCAGTCGGAACATTGTTCTTTGTTTTTGTTTTCGCACTATTCGAGTTACCTATAAAAAAGAAAATTTTACTCGTTGCTTTTATTCGTTGCTAAAACAAATATTTACCCATTCTTTATTTTATTATCGAATAACTTTTCAAGTATGTTTTCGTATGATTTTTAACTTTAACACTATCGTACTCGTTAGTAATTTATAGTTACCAATGAAGGGATCCCTTACCAGAAAACAGTGCATGAAACCTCCATCTCTGAACGTAATTTTTCATCCTAAATGGTTTACAACGATAACATAATGTTGACTGTGTTTGCATAAATAACATTAAATTTAGTAAACGCAAAATTACATAGGATATTTAATTGCAAGACAATTGAAAATAACTCAATATTACTGTCGATTGATTATCATTAAGAATTCACCATTTCATTCAAAGTCACTAAACTTCCGAACTAACTGTAAGAATAGTTTTATATATATCTCCAATCTCCATATACGAATTCATCTTTGAATAAAATTAAGTCGATATCATTTATTTAACGCTGGAAAATATTTCCAAAAATATTTTCGATAGTTTTTACCCATCTTAATTACATTTTTAAATTATAATATGATACACAACAGATTAACATATCCGTTAGGAAGTAAGATGAGGAATATTAAAATCGTGATATTAAAATAATTATAGATTATATATTACAACATCAGTAGTAACACGATGATTACGTTTCCAAAGATAAAGAGAAGTTATCACTTATCAGTCAAGCAATCTGCATCTCGCGTTGCATGAGTGTACGGAGGGTTGCCATGCGTCAGGCGTCTCCGTGGCAACACCACTCAAATTACACTCGTTTGCTTTGTCATCGAATAGAATGGTTTAATTTAAGTTTCACGGCTCGACATTCCTATAGAATTCGTCGACAAATATAGTCTCGGTGTCGCAAACTCAGCATACGTTCCGAAAACGGGATTGTGAAAAATTTCATAAGCGAAACCAGAGCTGGATGGGCTCAAATGAAGATCTGCCTCTTTGAACAAAATGTAGAGTAAGTTCTCTACACAGATTTTTCTTTTGACATAAGTTGACATATTTTCTTCCTAATGCATTGTTTCTCTCCTTTTTTTTTTTCGAATTTCCTAATTGTTTGTGTAGTATATCCAATACTCAAAGAATAAAGAGTCAAACAAGAACACGAATCTTGGGTTCTCTAATATTTTCCACCGCTCTGAATTGTTGCAAGGGCCATGTGGAAGGAGAAAAAAGGTGGTGGACGGTAAATAGAATGGTCGAGTGAAACTCGATTGGATTCCAAGACCAGAAAGCTCTGGGAGGACCAGTCCGCCACATGGATACTAATTACAGAGCAAACATCAGCAAGTGGCTGCCGCCTCCTGGTGGCATCCTGGTGAAATGGTTCGCAGAGTCCTCGACGCTTAACGAGAGAATGGGCAACCTCGTGGAACGCATAGCCTTAATCATCCAGGACATTACAGACGCACAGGCTTGTGATCTCGAGGTGCGAAACTAATTTCCCACGGCCAAGTTCGCGGCACGGTTTAGTTTCTCATTATCACCTGCTCGGATCTGCGAATACTCGATTGTTTAAATTAGCGCGCTTCAAGCGCCGCTGGCTTGTCTGTGGATTATTATACTTTCCTTAATTTACTAGATCGGGGACAAAAGAATCATTTTTAATTCTCTTCGCTTCAACGAAAGATAAAAGATACATTAGTAGATTTAATTGAATCAACGATTTAGAAACGCGTTAAGTTTAGATTCTTCGTAAGTTCGTAGGCTATTAATTAAGGTAGTTGAGTTTGAAATGTTACTAGTTGTGCCGCGAGAAGTTTGTACTTGAGTGCAAGGCGGGTCCCAGTCGCCCAGGGGCATAAGGTTATAATTAGTTTAACGTTAGGTTTAGATCCAATGCAGACTTATCAGTTGATCTACTTCTAGGTATTCTACAAACCAATTTGTCCTCGGTATCATGCGGAGGACCATTAACGTTATAGTTGTGCACGAAAGGTTTTGCACATTACTGCAAGGCGGGTTCCATTCGTGCAGGGGCACAGCGCTATAGTTAATGTAACATTATAATAAATTTCTTGTGTTGCTTGCGTGACGAATGTAGGGGTACAAAGGTGTCGCAAAGGACCTGGAGGAAGTGACCAAACAGTACACGTCGGTCTGCTCGGTTACCCTCAGCAAGCATCCGATATACAAGTACAAGATGCGCCATTTTCTGACTGCGTTGAAGCGAAAGGTGAACGTGCTGGCCAGATTCACTCGCAATCTAATCACAGAGATCGTCGATTGCAAGAGCGAGGAGCTGCTCAGAGTCGTCTTCAGGTGAAGTAAACCACAATCTCCTAGATCATAGTGTAACTAATTAGATAACGAGTCTAATTTCTTAATAGCCTAGGCCTCTTAAAGTCTTACATTGAAAACAACCCACCTCCTGAAGCATAATCTTCCATTTCAACTCGGTATCATGCCGATTGCAGATTAGTCAACATTTACAACGACATTCTGGACATGGACATCGACGTCTCAGATCCATCAACAACCGTGTTCCATAATGACAGTCCTTACATGCTGGAACCACTGAAGAAGGTGTCCGTCACGCGAATATTGCAGGTAGCTAGCCTAAACAAATTTATGTTCGTTAAGATACGATAATTCTATAATCATAATTAGGCAGGAACCATCCATATCTTTTTAGACGTAGGTTACAATTATTTTTGAACGTAGACAGCCCAGATCGTAGTTTCTTAAAAACGCGCAGAAGTCCGCGGACCATCCTCGCGAAAGTCTAACTTTTTAATTCAACCTACTCCCCGAGATGTGTCCATTTGCAGATTAAAATGAAACAGTCAGCGCAACACCGAACCCCCGTGTTTCGAATCTGAATTGTCGCAATATCTTGTCATTACCAGATAGTCGCGACTTTCTTGACAAGTTGGAACAGGAAAGAAAAGAAATAAACGATATGGTTCAGCCTGTTAAGGAGGAACCTCGTACGAACTTAAGAAAGAGCAAAATTTCGTTAATTCCTCGAGATCGAACCACAGATGCGATTGTTTCAGATTCTGGCGAAAAATAGAGCGGAGGAGTCCTGTCACGAGCTAATCGATTGCCTCCTAGCGAATTACGAGCCTCGCGAAAAAGATGATCCTGGCGAGGCTGGTGACGGGGAGGCTTCAGAGAATTCCAGCGTCGAGATCTATCGGTTGGTCCTCGGTTTAAGTCCCCGTCGATCCTCTTTTTTTTTCTCTCTCTTTTTTTTTTTTTTTTTAAACAGAACTCTGTTCTCGACGGTATTGTTCTTGGCTCACCACCGTTCGTGTTTTACGAAGAATTGATTCGCAGAGCCCTCACGAGACACTTAACGCCGCCAGTCGAGAGCACCTCGTCGAGGGTCGAGATGGAGATGTCGAACGTCGAAAGCATCCAGACTCTGGTCAACACTCAGAACGAGCAAGTCCTCAGGCTTTTAAGCGTCGTGCAGGACGTTTCGCCGCGGCTGTTGGGCAACGACGCGCTGAGGACCGTCAAAGATGGCGGTAAAATTGACCTAATTGTTTCACGGGCATCGAATAATCAATTATTATTTAGAATCCTCCGGCGCGGGCCTCGTTAAGGAATCTTTAATCGTTATGGATTTATTTGGAATTTTAACGAATTTTAACCAATAAGATTCGTTTCCCGATGATTCATTTTCGAGAGCGTCTAAGCTTCCAGATTTAAGGCTTTCTATTTTTCATCGCTAACTCAAAGTTTCTTAATTAATTCACGAGAATATGCACGCTCGCGTCAGGCAAGACGAAACTAAGGAGCAGCGCGATAAAGAAGGTGAAGAATTACTACCAAGAGGTTGCCTGGGGCGCGTTGTCCGGCATCTTGGACCACGTGATCCTTTGGTGGTCCCCGGAAGCACTGGCCACTCATCACAGCCACGGGGCGCAGCATCTAAAGGATTGGCTCAGTCAGTTCGTTCAAAGAAACCCTGGTAAAGTATTAAAACGAGGTATTTAAATAAAGTTATTTTAATTTAAAATAATCCTCAGTCCCTCCAACCGTGAGACCAGCGCTGCAAAATCTCTGCGACGCTCTAGGCTACCATGCCACGATCACAGCCTGGGACCAGCTCTTCAGGTTGGCTTACACTTCGGCGTTTCAGTGCCAGTCGGGTGCTTCGTCCTCGGAGGTCAGTTGCGTTTCAGACGCACAAGTAAAACCGCGAATCGCTACGTCATCCAGAAATGGCTGACAGGATTTTTCATTATAGAACAAAAAAAAAAAAATTAATTTCAAATATAGAAATGAAAATAACTGAAAATAAATCTGGTAGCCAACTTGTTAAAGGGAAACCCAATTTCTTCGGTACAATGTTCCCAATCGTTGTAGAACCTATGGAGCCACAGTTCCTTAGCCAGTTTCGCCGGAACGTAAACGATAATTAGATCCAATTTGCAGGGTAGCGACACTGGCCAGAAATTCGCGGAGTTGTTCCAGCTGTTGGTCAGGCTGAGCAACGAGTGCGAGGCAGGTGGCGAGTGGGTGATAGGCGCACCGTTGATGGAGTTGCCTCTGTCGGAACAGATTGTGGTTCTCCATCGTTTGGACCACTCGGTGCACACGGTGAGGCTGTGGATCTTGCAAGAGGCGAAGATCATTGCTCACACGTGGGAGCTGGACGTGTTCTTCCTCCTGGTCAAGGGTGACATCGTAAACTGCCTCGAGGAGCTATCCTATTTAAAGGTGCAGTGTTCATCCTCCTTCCATTAACTTGTTTACACTATACTATAGAGATACAATAGCGAAAAAATATTAATAATAATATCAGTTTTTCCCAAAAATTCATGTCACTTATACTTTTGCTACTCGAATTAATATGTGAAACATACTCTTAAGTGTTGTACAAAAAGGTGGTCTCTGAACGTTTCTGTAATTTTTTTTTATTACATATTGACAGAGTTTTCGGCATGCACTTATGGGATGGCCTAATAAAATACTGTACTATAGAGTCGCTTGTATCACAGCGTGTGTCTTTCAGTTAGCTGACCACACGAATGCGCTGTCCGCGGACTCCGTCAGCGTTCAAGTGTACGTCTGCGGGAAAATGAGAGCAAAAATTGTGTCCGAGGTCAACGCTAACATAGATCTCCTGCGGGTACGTAACGATTATTGAAATTTTCAAGCTGTACTCTTTCCAAAGTGGAATATATCCTTTACAGAAGTGTTCCACGCAGTGTACAACGATTCTCGCGAAAATCTGTCGCGTGGTCAGTCTGGCGAACCTGCACATGTGCTTTCCACGGTCGAGCTACTGGAGGAAAGGAAGCGACGTTGCTCCACTCGCCGCCAGTCTCTACGTGGAAGTCTATTTCGGTATGGGAATCTCACGTAACACGTTAATCGCCGTAACAACACGCCTGACAAAATTATACGAAATAAACTTGAATAAAATTCGCGAGTTTCACAAATACCACGATGAACGTTTCATTGTGTAGTCTTCGATGGTCTAAATAATATTTAATCCTAGCAGTTCTTACGAATCTTTTCACTAAGAACGCGTTCCTTAGAAAAAGTGCTGCTCCCAGTGCTGGAAGTCATCGAGGATCACGAGACATCCAACATGATCTTGAGAATCATGTGCGAAGCTTGGCTCGATTACATATATCTGCATCGAATTAAATTCAGGTGAACCTCTTGTTAATTCCCCCTGTTTTACTTAATCGATTTGGTTAGAAGTCGTTCGTTAATAACGTAATGCAGTCGTACTAATTCAAGCTGCGACTGAATATCTTTGCAACAATAATTCACGTAGTAATTCTATATGTAACACTCTTCAACTTTGAGTACCACTGCCAATCATCCCTCGCATCCATTTTGCATGAATTTTTCCAGCAAGTACGGAGCACTCCAGTTGCTAACAGACTTCGCCTACGTGTCGCAGTGGGTGACGAGCTGCACGATAATCTCTCAAGACGTACGAAATCGTCTCCTGAAGAACGAAGTCCTGCGACGCTGCGAGGGCGTGGGACGCCTGCTGCTGCGACACCCTGGCGAGGCTATTTCTATGCGCAAACGATTGAGTAAGGGAACAACGGGACCGGGAGGGAACGACGGCACGGAAGCTCGACGAGTGATTCGTGTTTTAATTCATATTTCCAGCCAGGAGAACCAACGAGCGTGGCTCGCCCGAATCGCCTGGACTGGAACGCATGCCAGCGGAGATGTACGTTCCGAATCAGGAACAGTGGCTGGAGCTTCGCGCTCCCAGGAGATACATCTTTTGTTGCACGGAGTGAAGAGGAGGAGAAACATTGGCGAATACGATAAAAGAACCAACGGGAAAAGAAACGGCGTAAACGAGGAGCGACGGATGTCAGAGGGTGTCATTGTTTCGCGCGATATTTTAAATAGGATTCTTTTCAAACGCCACAAGTGTGTCTCGCGTGAATGGGCGGGGATGTGGCTTCAGGTAACTCTAAACCAGACTCGTTTCCATAAGATGACACACTTCAAACCCTCCAACCGAAGCCTAAGCCCAGTCCGTCTCGATCGCGACTCGCCGATGAAATCTGTAGAGGAAGGACGAGATTAATAAACAACCTGTCAAAATTAGACGTTGCTCGCATTAGGCATTCTGTATCATCGGAACAAAATGTCCAATTCAAAATGTAATATCCCAAAACTTCTGTCGACTCGAATGCGCAGTCATAAATATTCGTACTCTCTATGTCTATCGAAGACGTTCGTCTGAATTAAATGATAGGCTTGATGTTTCGAAATAAATGCTCGTTATGAACATATATACACGAAAGGTTCGTTCGTGTAAATATCTCAATATATTTGTATATGTTTATAATGAAACATTTGTTTGGGAATATCAAACTCGTCCTTCAATTTAGATAAATTTCTTTAATAAATATAGAGGGTACGAATACTTACGAGACTGACTGCGTGTCCTTTATTTCGAGTATCTACGACCATTAGTAAGAACGTTGAGGATCGCTGATGCGAATTCACCCGATTTACGTGGTTGGGAAGCCCAGCAAAAGGGAGGAAGCCCCGTTCCGATCTTGCTGCGCGTATCGCGTTACACACCCACATAGGCAAGATGAAAACGGACAACGTGAGACCAGCTGAACGTTGACCCCTGGCTTGGACAGTGACGTATTCGCGGTGGAACCTGCAACTCGTCGCTGCATGGAGCGATGAGACGATCGCGATTGGCGCACGTGCTTATTTTTATCGCGGATAGCTAATTAGAAGTTATTGAAAGTTTCGAAGGAATAAATCATTGATTGCTTGGTAGTAAAAAGTAGTTGAAAGTGTAAGCATGGAACAAGTGAAGGTCGTTTAGTGGAGTAACCGTGGTATTTTATTTTTGTGCTGGAATAAAATGAACGTGACGTAGGTTTGACTTATTGGATCCAGGAGCAATTGGAAGATCTATTAGATCCTCGCAGGGGCCGTCGATCAGGTCACCAGGTACGTGGATTATGCTTTCAACCAAACCATTATTGCTCAAACAATGTACGATTCAATTTACGTGTATACACGTATCTATATTTTTAACAAGTGAACGTTTCTTCTTGGGGTTCCAAGAGGTTCTTCAAGTGCCTAAAAAATAAATGTAAGAACTTGGAAAAAAAAGAAACATTTGAGGAGAGACAGATTCACGAACGTCTCTTTTCGGTTCTTTAAAGAGGATGCCACTTTCACGAAACTCTTAAGTAGGCTCTATGTAGACTGTGAACTAAATAGAGAGTTCTTCTCCTTCCGCGGTATAATAGAAGCAGGCCAATTAAGCACGATTAATTCACGATTATTGGAAAAAGCGTTATCCATTGTATCGAGTTCGTGTATCGCGTGTCGTTGGCGTATCGAGTTCGTTGCTCCAGTTTTGATCGGTCTTTATCGCGCGGCCGTTCGCGACGAGGTGTCTGTCCGTCTAGGAACCGTCGATGATCTTTTGTAATCGTCCAAAGCTCCGTGTCTCCGTCTAGCATCAGCACTATAAAAAGAAAACGCCATAGAGGCGACTCTTGTTTCGTTCTAGGCCATCGATCTTGGATTCTTCTTATATAACGCGACCAGTCGACCGTCCGAGGCTGTGTAGGTGCTGCTGCAACGAACAGTCGCGGCAAAATCACCATGGCGACTCTTCGAGGCATTCGAGGGACTGAATAGCGATGGGATTCGAACGATCTCGAGGCTTCTTGAGTCATCGAGCGGTACAGGGAACTCTTTCGCGATAGGGAAAGTCGTATCGCGTTATCGATTATTAATTTTCAACGTTACCTCTTTCAACTTAACTCCTTGAAGGACGAACTTTAAATGGATTTCTGTTTCGTTCTAATTGAATATTTTAATCGATGATCGATTGTAACTTAAAAATATATTGTTTCGCTTTAATACGGTTTGTTTTTTAATTCTAAAAGGTTTTGTGATCGTTAGTAATGGTGATTCGTTGTTGTTAATACAAGTCAATAGAGCAACGATACTATGTCGACGTGCTTCAACCCTCACAAAGTAGAGACAACACTGACACGTTGTGCTAAAGGCACGAGCAACTTGTTTTTGCAACAAGTACATGATTTTGTAGCAAACATAAAGGGTTGCTATTCGCGTTGAGCTCGCGCGGGACCGGAAGTTGCGTTTCGGCTCGGTACCTGCCGCTGTAAAGCGAGTCGAAACTGTTCGTGAATCTTGAAGCCTGGGACTATTCGTGTAAACTAAAACTTATCATGTATATACAGCCACGAAGGAAGAAGAATAAATCTAAAGAAAAATCATCTTGTTTCTCTACGCACCCTTGAAATCAATCGATCGTTTGGAGAGAAAGATACTCGATAGCGTCCAATATTTCATAGCTACCGGAGCACCTAAAAAATTCAAATATTCAATCAACACTTTGCGCGATCCTCTTCAAGTAAAGATACCTCCTGGGAAAAATCATCAATGATGAAGCCAACTCAGGAAAACCACTTGGAGTTATAATCAACGTTGTAACAACCATTTGGAATAATAAAACAAACGATTCTAAATAAAATTACAGAATTTAATTTCATAGATACACTCGCGCGCGGCCAGGGACGACGTCCTCGGCGATCGTCGGGCGACAATCGCCGATACGGTTGGACGATTGTTTCCTTCGTCCTTCCTGTTGCAGTCCAGTTTCGTCGTTCGAACGTGCATCATGTACGGGGGCAGACGTGCGACGGAAAGGACCTCCCTCACGAGGTCCTTCGATTCCCCTGATTACGTGGAATTCGTCGACCACTCGAGGACCAGAAAGTCGAGGATCAGGCAATTTCAATGCTGCGTCTGCGCCACCTTGATGTAAGTTTCGCTGGTTTTCGAGAGAAGGTACACACGCGACGATTTATCTGTCGAACAGCTACTCTGACCAACAATAATTTAAGTTATATAATTTTCTTGAAATTATAGCGACATTGCACTTTGACGTTTTAAAGTATTTTTTGTTGTTGTAATGTGCACGTTGTAATATACTATAGGTATGTGATTGTAAGAGGAAATTAAAATGTGTAAACATTATTAAAAGAAAGAATTGTATTTTTAAGAGTGTTTTAAAAAGAGTGCCTGCACCTGACTAACTTCTTTGAGTATTCGATTATAAATGATTTGCTTGAATGTAGGTACATTTGATCCACGTCCTTATTAAGAATTTATATTTTGCTTCAAGGAAATATTGCGCGACGTTTATTTGGGATATTAGCGTGTTGAAGTAGACAGTTAAATAACGATTGTTGTAACGTGGCTTTTTACGTCTTCCAAGGTGCTCTAATCCGATTGCCTCTAGAACGTCGACAGCTTACACATCCTCGACGCATTAATAATCCGTGATCCGGAATTAACCGTGTTTATATAATTGCACGAGGTGTGATTCGCTCTACGCGTGATCCAAGAAAAAGAGCCCAGTAAAACAAACAACACCCATAAATAGCAGCATCGACACACTTATCAGCGAAACAAAATTCCTCTTCTGATGTAATTTTTATTCAAACCTTGTAAATCACTTTTTAAAATGTCGTCCACTAATAAAGAAACAAAATTCAGTAATTTTTCAATACTCCACCGTGACAGCCTTTCTCTTGCCACTATATTTTTAATACGTTTTCTTATTGAAACTTTCCATTACGATTCTACCAAGCAGTACAAACTCGACACTTGGTATAAATAAATAGTAACAAATTTGATTAATTTTTGTATTAGTATGGAATAATCAGTGGTTCAATCCGCGTCCTACATGCACGTAGATTTTCAACGCTCGCGTATCTGGAAAAATCATCGCGTATCCATTCCCCACCGTAAGCTGATACTTACGTAAATTCATCGCTCACCTCGACCACCGTCCAGCTTGTCGATCGTTTCAGTCTGGCCGCGGCAAGGAAGAAGAATGCCTTCCACGGAGACGACCTCGTTGACCAGCGACAAGCCGTCCAGGGTGTATTACGTTCGCGACGCGCATCCTTTTTATTCCCATCAGAGGAGACAGAGATTACGGCTGCGATGCCTCGCGTACACCGTCGCGACGTGAGTTTCCGCTCCTATCGCCTTCCTTCCAGACCATTTCGGGAGCTTCCGGTTGATATTGCACCGGGACGTCCACCGTCGTCTCACGTGTGCGCGATTTCGGTTTCTCCCTCGACATTTTCGATGAAATACTCGGAGATACGTGCCATTTGCTCAGGTGTTGCATTTTTTAATACTTTTACGTTGGCGATTATCGAGGAAAAAGTTTTAGTCGGATTACCTTCAATTGAATACCCACAAAAAATTTCGATTTATTCGGGTGTTGCATTTTTAATATTCCCCGCGCGAATGAAGTCTTCAAAATAATATCGGAGAGGTTGTAGTAGTGTTTGAGAAAGTATTGATTCGGTCAAATAATTCATCATTCTCCGTACAGCTTCTCTACGTACTTTCATTTCTGTTTCCAACGAGTCGATCGCGCGAAGGTGAGTCACGTTTCTGTTAAAGAAACGCTGGTTCGGATAAACTGAAGTCGCAGCGTAGGGGGTCACAGAGATCGGTACAATAACGAGTTCTCCAGCGGTTACTGTCTTGCGGTTTTGGTTGGTCACTGCCCTAAGACGGGGTCCAGCACGCAAGAATCGCGCAACGAAATTGGAGAAGATTTGTGTCCAGCTCTGTTCGATTCACAGATAGTCGATGAGATCGCATTTCCCAGAGAAACTGTCGCGTTTTAATAAGAGAATCGTCACTCTGCGAGACCCTAATTCAACAAATTTCCTTTTTAAATTCAATTTTTGAACAATTCTTATTCAATGAATATTATAATTTGTACACGATTCTTCGATTAACCGATTCTAATCATTTTCCGTAGATATCGAATAGCTCCTATTTGGCAAAATCGTAACAGAAAACAATTGCGAAAGAAGACTTTCACGATGGAATACCGAAAAATTGAAAAATTTAGTGTCTTTATTTAACAGAATTATAATAAAAAATGACATCCAGCTATCATTGGATTATTATTTCTCAATCAGACATTTTAAGTGTATTCCTCGTTTCAAGGTACTCCTCGCTATAGTCTGACGAGTA